CGTATCCCTGGCCGGGACCGATGTTGGTTTCCTTCGGGTAGGTACCTAGGGTTCTCTCCGTGTATGGACATATTGCATTTCTACTCCGCCTTCCTTCTAATTCCGACTTTGGGTGTCATCACTTCATGATGGATGACTGGAATCTCGGAAGTTTAAGCGAATTTCTTCACCGGTGTCCCTAAAAGATATAGGCACTTGGTGAATTCAATAGTCTCGACCTAGTTCATTCATTTCCAAGCTAGAAATCTTCTCAATGAACTTCTTCGGGGTCAGAATCAACTCTTCTATCGAGTACTGAAGTGGATAGGGTTTCTACAGGGTTCGTGCGATTATGGAAATGTCTAAAGAATCCTAAGAGATTATTAACATTTCACTAGATGATCCATATCAGGTCCTGCTACGATTACACATGGTATACAAATCATATATAGCTTAGATTCGATAGGCCTTCGAATATGTGATACTACTCTAGAACCACATCCTAACGAGGAAAAGGAAATAGAGCGAAACCACACATTCTTAGCCTATGGGATCCTTATTATATATAACCTTGGGAGTATACTCTCTGTAATTGTAGGTATATCAATGAGGATCTTTTTAGTTCTTCACACAAGGCTAGTTATGGATCCCAAAATACCCCTATGGTATTTTAATTCTTTGTTTGTTTCCTTATCTTCTTAATATGATTATGGGATTAGTGTGAGTCTTTTAGTGTTCCAAAATACTCCTATAGTATTTCAACTTTATGTTTGGCTCTAGCATTCCTAGTTCGTAAGTTTCAAACCTGTTGCAACACCACTATCACTCCAAAGCCCACGTTCATCGCATCTCGAATAAATGTGGTTGATCAGATTACATTTATTCTAGCATACGATTACATAACTGCCCAGGTTTAACTGTAGTGCTCAACATCCTAAGACTTTTATTATTGTTCTTCTTGTGATACTTGTGTTCGAGTGTTTAGATTCTGGATGTTATTATACTTTGGTAAAATATGGTTATATTTTAAAGTATAATTCTTGGTCAGAGTGTTTTATCCCTTTTGTATTTATAGGTTGTATATCTTTTATGAATTGATATACTTAGCTCACTAAAAACAATGCTCTGATACCAATCTGTCACACCCCAAAACCGGAACGACGGAAACGTTCTGGGATGGATGACGTCATGTCAAGTATCACAACACATGCATTATAGTAATCAAAGTACAACAAAACATTGCATTAATAGTAATAATTTTTCATGGTTCACATTAAAATATATTGAAGTAATACAAGTAAATGAAATAAGAACAGCATGGTACTAAGCTATCTTCATCAACAACTCCGGGGATGTACCTGTCTAATGCTGACCTGAGAATACAAGTTATTTGAAAAGAGAGTTTCAGCATTTTTACAATTGCTGGTGAGTTCATAAGTAATTAGTGACATTTTATTCAAATAACTTTATAATGTAGTAGTTTAAGAGTTTACAGTGTATTAGAGTTCTTTCCAGAAAATCCTATATTTTCTTTAATAAAAGCAGTCTTCTACCAAGACTGGACGGAGTTATGTGGTAAAAAGTAGTTTTCCCTTAATCGCTATCATTATCAAAATACTGAATTTGATTTTTAAAAGAAGCAAGAGAAGTCAGGGAAAAAACATATGCCTCAGCAGTGAGGACTGCTGACTAAGGTAAAGGAATCATAGACTCAAGGAGAGTATCGAACGAACGACATGCTTGGTTCCCTCTAACTACTGGAGACACAGACCCCAGAAGGTACCAAATGAAAGGTACAGCTGGTAAGGTCTAAAACAATGAATACAGACCGTAGACAGTATCAAATGAAAGATACATCTTGCAAGGTCAAAACAGAGAATACAGACCGCAGACAGTATTAAATGAAAGATACATCTTGCAAGGTCAAAACAGAGAATACATACCGCAGACAGTATTCAAATGAAAGATATATCTTGCAAGGTCAAAATAGTGTGACTCTGAAAATGAGTTACCAGCATACAGTGTAAAGTGCCGGTGAAATACCGTTACCTTAAATCCATGAATTATAAGGCAACCTGGGATACTCGTAACCATACTAACCGACACTTAAATATTATGACATTTGTCACCCCTTGGCTTGGTAGGTCGTGGACTGTAGCTAGCAGTCAGGGTGCGGGGTTGTCAATCCCGTATAGATCAATACACACAATGTCCGCTCTCCCTACAGGAGACTCTGGTTACCAACTAGACTACAGAGAAGGCCGTGTCCCGAAGATGCATCCCAAATAGTGGGTAGTATGTTACCGGTATAAGTGTTGAACTAGAGGTAGAGACTCATAACTGAACTGACTAATGTAAACCTATATGTCTATACTCGTATACATAACATACAACAAATGAACCAAACGAACTTCGGACAGCCATCTGATCCCACCAGACCACATCTCAACGAAGAAAAGGAAATAGGGCGGACAAACCTTCCTAAGTCCTTTAATCATTATTTATATGCACCTATACAAGTACAGACATACATCTAACTACGATTGAGTGTGTAACAAGTGGAAACGCATCATGATGTATAACGTACAGTGTGAGCGAATAGTGTGGAATTACTTAATCATACAGTGTGAGCGAATAGAGCGGAATAACTAAATTGTAAAGTGTAAACAAACAGTGTGGAATAATCGAATCATGAAGTATAAGTGTATCACGAAGTGGAAACGATAACTGATGAAGTAGAAGCGTCTAACAAGTGTAAGTGACTACAAGTATAAGCGAAATAGAGGCAATAATCGGCATAAGCGTATCACGAAGGAAATGCGTTATCAAGTAGGAGTTTTAAATAAGTAAAGCGAAGCAACAGTAACAAACAAGTAAAAGTATACATCGTAAAAGGGAACTTCGATGAAAACCTTGGAAAAACCTTTATACTCAGGGAAAATCACATTCGGTATTCTTTGGTAACATTAGTTTAAAAACATTATAAATCCTTGGAACCTTTATAAACGAGTTTAAAATGAATTTAGATAAAATAGTATATGTAAGAGATTTTGAAACAAATGAAAACCTTTTTGAAACCATCATAGTATCCTACTCGGTAAAACAGTGTACAGTGTGGTAAAATCCGCTACATGTAGGTTATCAATCACATGTGATTGATATGATAATTGGAATGTTTAACTCGAACACACTCAATGACCTATTTAACATATGATAACATATGCTCACATACAATTAGTATATTTAATACTAATTAAACAAGTATACGCACTCAAAGGAGCGGAAAACACTTTGGTTAAGTGTTTAGCGTGTCGCGGGTAGCGTCTAAAGGTGTGTATGGCTTAGGAATCGAGTTTACTATCCGAGAGTAAACTCTCTATGCTATGTTTACAGCGTAGGGACTACTCACCATGAGTTTACGGCCGTAAACTCATGGTGAGTGGTTCTAGTGTGATTTAAGGCTTCAAACTTGTTCATGGAATTATTCTAGGTCCAAAACTATAAGGTATGAATGAGTTTAAGGCTTTTAAAGGCATCATTATGGAGTTTACCGCCCATGAACCATCCCTAAGGGAGTTCACGGCCGTGAACTCCTATATCATGGGTTTAATGAAGTTTTAAGCCCTTAGATCACTCCTAGCATTTTATGGTAATAGTCTAAGGCCATTTGGGGGACAAAACTCAATGTTTTGGCATGTTTAAGGATGTTTACGGCCTTGACACATGTTTGGGCCGTAAACTCCTTTTTTCCCTTCATTTTATTGTGTTTAATTTATCTAAGCCCGAAATATCAAGTCCCTAAATTATGTATTAAGTCCAAGGGTGGGTTGGGAGTGTTTTTGGGGCACTTTTTCAAGGTTTAGAGGTGTTTACAGCCTAAGCATGTGCTTGGGCTGTAAACTCTCTTTTATGCCCTAAATTGATTGTTTTAAATGATCAAACACTCCAAGGCTAAATCCTCAATTTATTTCCATGCCTTTAGGGACATTTTTAGGTCTTTTTGGCCTCAATTAAGGTGTTTACGGCCTAAGGGGGATCTTAGGCCGTGAACTCCTTTCCCACAGCTTAAATGGTCGAATTTTAAGCTATAATCACGAGTCATAATGCTTAGAAAAAGCTAGGGTAAGTGGACTTACGATTTGGAAGCGTTTGGATGTGGATTCGGGTCAAAAACGAGTCTAGAGAGAGAAAGTATAGAGAGAGAGGGTGGAAAAGGCTCAAATGGAGTTTACTCCCCCTTATATATGGATGGGAGTTAGAGCTCAGTGATATTCTACCCGATACTGTCGTTTAACGGGGCTTTTGGTCACACCCGATTTAGTGGTCGTAATAACAAAAACTAACTTTTCCAACTAAATGGAAATGTGTATTATGAGTTTTTATTTCTCTTATCATGACTTAACGACATAAATAAATGAAATATTTATTTAATTGGCGACCTCTAATTAACGGAACTTTTATACAGTGGAATATTCCGTTAACGGTAACGGGGTAATGTAATGAAATGACTTTGGGTTGTCACATGTAGCTACCATTCCAGTGAAGGCTTTTGCGGCAGCTTCAAAGAATTCACATTCAATGATTATTTGAAAGTTTAACAAAGTATGGATATCGCCTTCTCCAAAATTCAATAGATTTTTCGGATCAACATTGTAATACTGGTTTTTCTTTAGCTTGATCGCCACTTACGAAGTAGCCTCATCATAAACCCATAATTCCATTAAATCCAAAGTGCCTTCTGGTAAACGTTTGGGAAGCGGAATTCTTTTAGCTTGCTTTATAGGCGGCCACATGAAATTCACCATGATCACGTTAGTATGAGGATCAATGATATCCTTGGCCTTTCTAGTAAACGATGTAACAGTCTTCAAGCCTTCAAACTTATTTTTAGCTTTGATCTCAATTAAATTCTTAAAAGACCAGGCCATGGGATCATTGGTGGAATTGTAGAAGGGTGAGTGGATGAGTATAGAAAGATCAACTTTTGTCCAGGACAAGAGGTAGACTTTCTTCTCATAGTATTAAATTTGTCCGCTACTCCGCTTCACAATCCACATTTTCTTGTCAGCAACATATCCCCACATCTTAATGATAGAGCAATCCCCATATTTATTTGTGAATTTCCTTCCAGATTCCCTAAAAAACATCTCAGGGTGATCACCTGGAGCATTTTGGTCAGAATGCTTCATCACGAACATCTTCCCTTTTAGTTGTTCGACCCTGATTTGCTTCTCTCTTCTTTCTTGAGTAGAAGTAGGACCAAACGATATGAATGAATCAAGATTAGCATCTATAGCATGTCTTACAACTCTTTCACTTGTGGGCTGAGAAGTTGGATTGACATCACCTGAGCTAAAAGCATAAATCTTTTCTCCTTCAGTGCTTAAAGGTTGAAACTAATCACCAAACTTTTGATATAAGCATTGTTTCATGTCAAAGAAATAATTTGTAAGACCACCAAGATTTTCTTGAAGTTCTGAAATGTTTACATCTTTAACGGAGCTCTCCTTTTCAAGCTCACTGATTTGAATGTCCTGCTTTCCAATAATCAAATCCTTTTCAGCAGAACTTTGTTCCAAAGCAAAAACTCTATTATGAAGCAAAACGACATCCACAAATTTAGTCCCAGTCATCTTGCTTTTGCCATTGGAAATTACTAACTCAGAGGCTTCAAAAGTACTTCCAGAAGCTTGAGCTCGTTTAGAAGGCAACACTACTTCGTTAATAATAGGGATTTGAAAATCCTGATCCATAGGGGTGGACTCAGGTAACGGGCTTGAAATCTATTGAATCGTTGGAATGGACTCAGTGACTAGGCTTTCAATGTTTTGATTCATAGGACTAGGCTCAATTGGTGTAGATATGTTTTGAACAACGTTTGTGATAAGCACTTTAGGTCTTGGATATCTTCTTTTTCTTTTCCTTAGGAGTAGAACATGGGTTGAATCTTCTTGATCACTCTCAGATGGAACTTAAGTTGTAATAGAAATTGTTGGGGAGGCTTCCTCGCAGTTCGTTGAAGTTCTGCAATAAGTGCATCTAACTGTTTAGGGGTAGGTGAGGAAGATTGTACCAATGTATCTCTTTCCCTCTCAGACACGATAGGAGATGTGAAAGCAGCATCCTATTCTGTGAATGAAATACTTTGTTGAATAAAATATTCAAACTCATTTTCTAACAATTCCTTTTCTTAATCCTCTACTTCTTCATCATTAGATACTTCAACCTCTTCAAAGGAAAATTGAAATTCTGGTTTTGGTGCCACAGGTTCCACAGCAACCTCAACATTAATGGAACTTGCAGCTGGAGTGTTTACAACTTCAAAAAACTTTCCAAACTTAACCAAATACTTCAATCCTTGATACGCGACTTTGGTAGGTTTTCTTGATTACTTCATGAGTCCAAAGGTGTTCGACCCACGGGTTTCATATCCAAAGTCTCATACAACCTCTCAATTAGGGGATATTTTTCATTAAAAATCATTTGAAGGAACCTGTGATACATCAAAAATAGGTCTTGCTTCTTCCCCTAACGATTGCTTTTCATTTCTTCAAACACAAACTTGGAAAAGCTGTAATTTGAGTCCATTGCTAAAGTGACAATAACTGAGGTCTTCATCTGACTAATTTCATCAAATCCTCCCTTCTTTCTAGAAATGAAAATCACAAAGGAGTGTGCCAGAAACCTCCAGAAAAGTGGCAGCAACTTCTTGATGGTGGGAGGATAGGTTCCTTCATAACACATCTTCTATAGAACTTCCTTGACTTGATAAGCAGAATACTCAATTGGGAATGCAGAAGCATCACCAAATTCAAATATTTCTCGAATGACTTTTTCAAAGATTATTACTTATGTTCCTTTCACCATCGATTCAACAGTACCAGCTCCATCTGCTCCCAGCTTGTTAATTGAAGCATTTTTCCAGAACTTAGTAATCAGATCTCTATGGAAGATTTGATTAGTTTGAAAGGCGTGAGAAATCCTGCAATTGTTCAAACCCACCATCATGGATTCGAATTCTTGACGAGCAGTAGGTGGGTCCATGAGATATCCAACAACGTTGTGAGAGTCCATAAATTTAATTCACTCTACTATTTATTTCCATTAAACTAGCCAAGTGAGAACTAATTTAAAATTAATTAAATTAAGTTTAAAAATCAGGTAAATTGAAAGTGAAATATGATATCTGATGAGATTATAGAATCTTTTAATCTATAGAGATCGATTAGATCTTGAACAAGTAAATAAACAATGATGGTTCAAACACAGTAAAATAATAGAACAAGGATGAATCAAACGTGTTGAATGATTAAAACAAAATCCTCAGAAGAGCTCGATTAAGAACATCAACTGTAGAGGATTGGAAGGTTACAAGTATGATCAAAGAAACCTTTAGTCGTCTGGAAAATGTTGTATTCTCAGATCTCTAAAACCTTAACCTAATATGCATGCAAGCATAAGCTTATATACAAAGCATAAAAGACACACGGTTGGACAAGCCCAAACCGTAATACAAAGAATTATAAACAAACGAGCCCAAAAGACGCAATCTTCTAAGCCCAACAATCTCCCCCTTTGCGTCAATTTGGGGCGAGATCTTCACTCTGTCTTCAAAGCAGATGGCTTCTTTACCGTTTGAAAAATTTTCGGTATCAAAGCTAGAATATGATGCCTGAAGGTAATATACCAACGAAGCATATCTGTAAAGTTCTTCTTATCTGCTGTTGTATTCTGTTTGCATCGGTGAATGATATTGATGATGTGCTCCAGACACTCTGTAGAGAACAGATGCTTGTCTACCAACGCAAACAGAAACTTGTGCTTATCCCCCTTGTGAACATAACTGTCAGATTGGAAGAATCAATCTGCCCCAACTTCATTTTATGGACATCTCCGGTTTTGGAAGTGGGCTTGACAGTCGGTTTCTTATTCATCACCTTTGCTATTTCCTGATCCATAGTGGCTAGCTCATGGACATAGGAAGCCAACATTCTTTTAAGATGAGAAAGTATTGGTTCATATTCTCTCTGGTTGGAGAGAAGAATGTTGTATAGCAGATCCAATCGTGGGGGTTCAGACTGGGAAGATCTGCCAGAGAAATAAGATGTTCGGTGTTGGCAGTTCCTCTGTTGATTTTGAAATTGACGTTTACAAATTCCCAGCCTGGGTTGGTTTCAGTACCTTGACTCTTATAATTTTCTGGGCGCTCCAAGTCAAGTACTGAGGTTGACCGAATTTCAGATAGAAATCGATAAGCTCCCTGTCAACCTTCGGGTTCGGATGAGGGACGTTTGCAGTGACATCAAAGCAGTGAAAAGTGAAGGCTTTACGCGTAATGGGCATGTCGAACTGCGAGTCTTTGGGTTTTCACACTCAAAAGATGCAATCGGTTCCAACCAATAAATAGAAGGAAACTCAATTGCTTGAGTGATGAGTGTGTCTCTGTCCCAATCTGGGAACAGAGTCTTTTTAGCTTGAATTGCCTCCTCATCCTCCCGGATTTTCCTTTCTCTGGCTTCTGCCTCACGAGCTATCTTCAATGTTTCATCAAGCTCTCTGTCCCGTTTCTTGCGTTGAAGAGCTTCAGTAATGGTTTCATCTGATTCTGATTCGCTCTCAACTAGGACATGTTTACCAGAACCCGAAGCTACATTACCCTTCGGTTCTTGTTTGGACATACCTTCCTCTCCCCCTTGTCTCGGAAGAACATGCTTCTCCGAGACACCCTTCATTTCACTTAGGATAGTGATCGCCGGAAGGAGTTTCGCCTGGAGATGCTGACGAACAGTGAGGGTTAGGAAGGGATCATGGGAGTCAAGAACACCGGTTAACATATTTTTAACGTCACCAGCGCAACTCTGAAGAACTGCCCGTTGAGTTTGAAGTAAAGTGATTTCTTGTTGTGCCTGGGCCAGTTGAACTTTCTGTAAGTCAATAGTTGCCTGGTGCTTGATAACTTCTTCCTTCAGGGTGCTCTCGGCTGCTAAAGAGGCAAAACGTGAATCCAAAGATTTGAGAATTGAAGTGGATTCAGTTTTGAGGTCAGCACGCAGAGCCTCAAATTTCCTGGTTTCTCCCTGAAGGGTGGCTGCGAACGAGTCTACTGACGCTTGAAATTTGGAAGCATTTGAATCAGCATGAGCCTTGAGAGAATCAAGAAAGATCTGAGTTGTATGAACAACCTCAGAAACTTCCTTAGTTGCTTTGGAGCATGAGGCTGCTGAATTATCTACAGCGTCAGTAGAGCGATCCAAGGCTTCGGTGTAAGTCTGGATTGCTGACTCGATGAAAGCCTTCAGCACAGCACCCCCATATGCTTTACTGTCAGTCAGCAGACTATCGAGTTTTGCGTGAATCTCTTGAAGTTGCTGACTTGACACAGGGGTATCTGTATCGGTGTCGGTAGGGATCCGGTAAGGGCTGTAATAGATGGAATCAAATTCATCATCATCACCCCCTAGGGTAGCACCGGAGTTGGAAGATGGAGAAGGGGAGGATAGAGGGTTGATGACCGGGGTTTCAACCACAGAAGCAGCCCCCGTATCAGATACGTTGACCGTTACTGGTGGTTGGGTTGTGGTTATGGTGATAGATTCTGTGATAATAGGTTGGGAGATAGAAGATGAAGGTTGAGAAATGGTGAAGGGAATAGTGGTTTCGGTTGTGGTTTGGGGAATTGATGTTGGAACAGAACTTGAGATGTTCTGTTTGGGTGATTGGGTTGGGGTTGGAAATTTTGGGGAAGTAGGAGGAGAAGGAGATTTGGTAATTTGGGGAGATTTAGGTGGGGTAGGCGAGTTTTGTGGAGACGAAACGGGTAGAGTTTCGGTTTGAGGATTAACGTCTGGAGGGGTAGGAGAGTTTTGTGGAGACGAAACGGGTGCAGTTTCGGGTTGAGGATCAACATCTTCTGTTTCGGATGGTGCATTCTGTTTTGATTCAGAAGGAGATCCTTTGGCTCTTTTAGCCATCTTCTTGACCTTTTTCGATCTCGGCTGAGAAGGTGCCTCTGCCTCGGATTTGCGTTTGGAGGACCTTCTCTTTTTCTCCTTTTGGGGTGCGGGTTCCTTCATCTCAGCCTTCTTCTTTTTGCTCGCTCTTTTGCCCCGGTTAGCAGGCCGATCCAGAGCCTCAAGAGCTGCACGTTGTTCCTCGGAAAGAACCCTAGGAGGCAGGGGGTTCTGGAGCTGTAGTCCGCCATAATCTTGCTGTGGGGCGTGACACATCTGTACATGGACTCAGGGATTAGTCCATAGTGGAGGAACTTACTTGGATCTGAGAGAATGATTTTCTTGGTGTGGTATGTGGCAATTGAAGCCATAAGAACATCCTTCATGACAGGGATGTCAAGAGAATCAATGGCTCTCCTGGTGATGAGGGTCCAAAACCTGGCGCATGAAATTTCTGAGTGCCTTGCGGTAGAGTTGAGACTCTGAACCACTTGAGACCAGAGAATCGACCCATAGTCCAGATTGATCCCGTTGTAAAGCCCATACAGCATTGTGAGAAATCCTTTGCTAGTGGTGTCGGAACCACCACATCGCTCCGCTAAACCCTTAATTAAAAGGGTAAGCAATCCATTCCACTGAGATGGAAGACATGATTTCTTGACTTTGCCAACAGATGTTAGAACATCTGTATACCCCATCTCGTACATCATCTTAAAGATTTGGGCGGTTGTGATGAAGTCTGGTGAAATAACAGAAGTATCTACGGCAAGCCCTAGAAGAGAGCAAAACCGTGCTTTGGAAAC